GCCTCCTCCTCTGCCTCGTCCTCAGCCTCCTCCTCAACCTCTTCCTCAGCCTCCTCCTCATCCTCGTCCTCATCCTCAACCTCTTCCTCGTCCTCAGCCTCATCCTCAACCTCGCCCTTAACCTCTACCCCCAAAATATCCTGTATCTCCACCTCCTCATTCTCCTCCACCACTACTGCTTCAGCCTCTACCTCCTCCTCCTCATCATCAGAAGAAGCTTCCTCCACCTCCTCAATGTGTAACTGTTCTCTCAACCTCCTCATCCTTCTCCTCAGTCCTCCCATGAGGTTATTAAAATTGAAATTAAAATTACCCAGTTCCTGAATCCAGAACGGGAGCTCCGGGTCAGGAAGGGCGGCGACTGGAACAGTGAGGGAAAGAAGTCATTAGACCAGGAACGTTGATAAAGGAACATTAAATAAAAAATTAAATGCTTTATTTTAGGTTGCTGGATGTGCCTGTGTGAGTTTGTCAGGTTAAAGTAGATTTAATCAATAAGAACATCGATCTGTGAGCTAAAATAACCCAATAAAAAACATATTAAGAATGTTAGGGGTTTGGTTAGTTTTAAAATAAAAATGGACATTGTTGTAAAAGACACAATAATACAAAAATTAATACACACAGAAATATTTAAAAATATGTATATATGTGCGTATATGATTATCAGCCTGAGGAGGATTTTAATTACTTCACCATCACATTGAGGATATCTTTCAAATCACAAGACTGCCATTAAATTGTAATTTTTTTTAAATGTAAATGTTTATTTTACTGTTTAGTAGGGTTTAGAATTTATTTTCAGAATATTAGCAATTAATGAATGGTCCATTTATTTAGTTTATTTCTACCACGCTTCCTGCAATGAGACTGAGCTCCCCCTAGGTAGGGCTGGGTATTCTTCAAAAATCTTCGGTGCCGGTACCAATACTGATACCTTCACTTCGATACTGGTTCCTGAACGATACTTTTTTCTATACCAGTTTTATAATATCAATTCGAAGAAAAAGAAAATTACACAACATAATAAAGCACAAATCTTGAGTTTTATTTTAAGCTCTGATTTTTCCATTTACAATTTTCCTCTTACTTAATTTTTTTTCAGTGAAGAAGAACAGTTCGCACAGGTCTTCACTGTATATTCACAAATATTCACTGTTACATTGTGAGGACCTTTTTACTTAGCAGTTTTTCTTTAGAAAAATTAACATGTCTGCTTTCTCAGGAGACAAACAAGCCCGTTGAATGGGATCCTACTGACAGCACACCGCTGGTATGTGGGGGTCTGAGCGGCTCTGACAGAAATAATGTTGGAAGGCAGGATGGTAATCTGGATGAACTGACTGCACTGATTAAGTTTTCAGGTGGATTTTCCCACTTAAAAACATAATAAAACTACTTTATTCCCACTGATCACAGCAAATATAGCTGCAAGGCAAATAAAGGATAGAGTAGCTCCGCCCAACGCGCTTCAGAGCAACTTTTCAACCGCGCAGCCAGAGCAGCAAAGCTGCTTCAGCCGCGTGTCAGAAGCTGGTATAACAGCAAAAAAGGAAGCAGCAGACGCAATTTTGCTGCTCTTGTTGCGTACGGTGTGAAAGCAGCATGATTTACTCCGTTCTGGCTTTGCACTGCCCACAGGCTGCTGAGAGGAGGATGGTTGCGCCGGCTGTGGTCCGCTCTTCTTGCAGTCAAACACCGAGCAACTTTCTGCTCTTAAATTGTTTCCATGCACGATGTATTGCATTGCGCACTATTGGCATCAGTCTTAATAAAGTGAAGCCACACTTCTGACCTGGGTGGCATTTTAAAGGGGTTCCACGACGCTCGCAACCAGTTCACAACAGATACACATGAACCCTGGCTGTAGGCGTGACCATCTATGTATTTTTCCTGGATGACGCAATCAGATTAAGTGTTACAGCCAATCACCGAAACTTGGTACCGAAAGACGAGGCATGTTTTGATACTCTGTAAAACCGAAGCATTTCGGTAGTTACCATAAAAGAGCCGATGTTCGGTACCCAGCCCTACCCCTAGGAGGCACCCACCCCCCTTCGGTAACTACTGACCTAGACTATGCATCTAGATTAGTTCAGATTGAAGGACACTTTAAGCTGTCAGTAAACATTTTTTGCATTAAACTCATACTACCAAATTAGAAATTGTTTTGATCCATTAAATATATTTCTTTATCAGAAAAAAAAGCTTAATAGGGTGATTTAGTAATATAATCATACATCTTTGAAGTTTATTTGCTATAAGTAGAAAATGATCCTAATTAAAAGAAATAAAGGTTTAAAAACTTCAGGCTTTAAATTTCAGATGTAAAATGATCAGAATCAGAACCTCAGCTTATCAGACACCTTCCTCAGTGCATCCTTAATTGACACACATAGGAAGCCCAGAGCAGAAATGGACATTAGCAAACTTTATGCCAAACTATTCAGACTCAATTTTTTTCTACAAATCTAAGAAAGGGGATCCTATACAGAAATTTTTAATTGTTTAGAAGAAACCATCCAGCGTTAAATGTTTT